GACAACCTCTCGTCAATATGCGTTTTTCGCATTGCATTGCTGCAAAAAACGCATAAAAAGCAGTGATGCAGAAACAAGTTCTCTTTTCCCTTTCATCAAGCATGCTGTTTTTGAGAACCTGAAGTAGGTGAAGCAGCTGTAAAGCAAAATTTACAGTTTTAAACTGCGAGTAAAGCAACCGTTACTTGGAGCGCGACGCTTAAAAAAACTGACGCAAAAAAATAATTTTAGATTCATTTGCATCCTATATTTTATCATAATAAAAAAAAAGCGTCTTTCTATTACCTCAGCAGATCGTGAAGACGGCGTACCAGTGACAGTCACATTCGCAACGGATTCTTTTGCTGCGATATCTTTAACAGGAGCTGCTTGCTTTGATAAACCTGAAATTAGAAAGGACAATTATAAGAAATCATAGCATCGCAATATATATAACAGTGCAGATTTGTGCCAACTCATAGTTGATAAAATCCACCGTCATCACCTAGGAAATATTCCATACACTGATGCATACACTCATACATACATACATACATACACACACACACAAGTACACTCACACTAGTCACATCTCAAAATAGCAAAAATATTGTGAAGTGTTTCTGCCTTTACAAGATTTTTAAACAGAGAGCTGGTAACCCTTCAGGAGGCAAAACGAACGTGGGGATCAACGACAAACTAATGATCAGACATCGAAGCACATATCAAAACAACTGGGAAAGTTACCAGCTGCACAGATGGTGAGCCATACAATGAATCAGTTCTGTCTCAAGCATCCAGCACCTAAGTATTCCTAACAGGAACTGAATGACAGCAGTGCTATACCATATGAATCTCCTCTCCCACCTTCATTCCACCTACCCAAACTCACCTCAAGTCCACTCAATCAGGACGACAAGAGTGGTATGACTGGATATAGGCTCTCCTCATCGAGAGTACCAGTACAACGGAAATAACTGTTGACAAAAAGGAGCAAGAACTTACTCAGAATGGCATAAAACAGCTCAAGCTATCGGGAGAATATTTTTTTCTGGGTATGAAATACTTCCACCGTAAAATTTATCTTTTTTGGGCTGCTACCTTCCTCGCACCTTTGAACACCGGCCAAAACACGTAGCTGCTTTTGAAATCCGGTTCTGTCAGCAGTTACTCTCAAGGATTAATACTGGCTTTGCGTGCAGTCAGAAAGTGTAAGTTACGAAAAATCAAAATCAGGCTGTTCTTTTCAATCGCAAACAATGCGGCTAGTCGCTTGCTCTCGCATACCAAATTTGCGCAACTGCGAAAAAATTTGAGTAAATTTCGCCTCAGTTCACTAGCTCAGCCGAATCTGAATAGCGGTTTCCACGCACAATCAATAGCAGAACAATTTAAAAAGAGTGCATCAGTACCGATGAGAGGGGCAACCATAAACCGAGAATGTGCCGGACAGACAATCTTTTTTTGCGTAAAATTGGTAGTAGAACGCTTTTTTGGCTGGCGCCTCCAGTTCGGCAAAAAAAGCAAGCCTTTCTGCTTGGAAACTTTCCTTGAGAAATTGTAGTCTGCGGGTGGCAGACCACCAGCAAACCAGTGTAATATCTAGCATCCAGCAATTCTCCAAGCAATGATTTCAAATTTTGTGATACCCAAGAAAAAAAAGAACCATTAAATTTACATCACTTCAGTTTCTAAAGGTCTCGTGCTATTTTTTGCACGAATACGCTGAACAACGGCATCAAGAAGTTCGACCTGCCAAAATAAATATAGCAAATAAGTGAGCCTTCAAATCTTTTAAATTTCTGAAAAATGCATCACTAATAGCAAGACCATAAAAGTATGCGTCATGTTGTCCCGAACTGAACTGACTCAAAATCTATAACTTAGATAGAGATAATTCAAGTAGTTATGAATAATTCAAAAACAGACCTTCGGCAGATGGAAAACGAGGATCGCCGGGCAAAGCGAGACGAGGGTCGCTGACATGAGGGACACGTGGATCAGAAGTTACTGAAAGACGAGGATCGCTGACTGGCGGATGACTGGGACGAACGACAGCGTCTGATGGTGCTTCTCCACTCCAATATCTAACTGTTGGTTGCAAATGTCCAGCAGGAGTGCCACTTGCAGTTCTGCGGTACGGCTCCGGAGGAAAAGACGAAGACGGCTCCTTTTCTCTGAAGTCACTGCTTCTC